CCTGGTTTAAGTGACTCTTTTGCCTCAGCCTCCCGAGTAGCTGGGACTACAGGGGCGCGCCACCACGCCCGGTTAATTTTTTGTATTTTTAGTAGAGCTGGGGTTTCACCATAGTGGCCAGGCTGGTCTTGAACTTCTGACCTTGTGATCTGCTTGTCTCAGCCTCCCAAAGAGCTGGGATTACAGGCATGAGCCACCGCCTGTAATCTCAGCACATCTTTTTCGGTAATTGCAGCCAAGTCCCAGAGTTGAACCTCTGAGCCCGGCTTGATTTACCTGCATCTTTTAAACCAACCCTCTGGAACGAAGGTGGGCTACTTAGACAACTAAAACCAAGGGCTGAGGCTGGCTTTATTGGGATTTTGTGATGCGAGTTCAGGGAAGAGTGTTTGTCCTGAGGAAAATCTGGGTGCTATTGCTAGAAGATGGGGAGAGAAAAATTAGAGCTGTTCACTGCCATGGCTCCCTAACTCTCATCTGCCTCTCAACATACATAGCAGAAATCACTCTTCCCCAGGCCTAGCACATGTCTGGGGCAAATTTTGTCGGGAGAGCGCTAGAATCTATGTGAGTCCACTTGACACCGCAGTGCAAATTAGATCAAGGTACTCTTCTTCTTTATAAATTACAAATCTGCAATGACTACCATGTGGATGACATCCTGGAATGTGATTAAAATAATTTCAGAGAAGCAAATGGTTTCCATTCGTGAATAATAAAGAGTAAAATAAAATATATAAAAATATAAAACATATACCTTAAGGTGGGTATAATATGCACATCCTAACTATGGCCCTACACTTTGCCATGTTTGTTAACATACCTTTTGAGGTGAACAGGGGCAATTTTGCAAGGCTCTTTAGTAATTTATTGACTTCAGTCTTCTTTTCTCTTTTTTTTTTCTTTTGGTCTTCAAGGTGGTTTCTGGCAGCAAAATCCTGATACAATTCTTGAGAGACAGAAATGATGGAGGCGAAAATATTGGTTGACAATGCTATGAAAAAGAGAACATGATGGCCATGTGCGCTGGCTCACGCCTGTAATCCCAGCACTTTGGGAGGCTGAGGTGGGTGGATCATGAGGTCAGAAGATCGAGACCATCCTGGCTAACACAGTGAAACCCCGTCTCTACTAAAAATACAAAATATTAGCTGGGCATGGCGGCAGGCACCTGCAGTCCCAGCTACTTGGGAAGCTGAGGGAAGAGAATCGCTTGAACTCAGGAGCAGAGGTTGCAGTGAGCCAAGATCGTGCCACTGTGCTCCAGCCTGGCAACAGAGCGAGACTCCATCTCAAAAAACAAGAACATGACTTCTTATTTGGTAACTTCGTTCTCAGGAATTGGGTGTAACCCACAGGAACCATACGAGTGGGTAGGTCAGAAAACAGAGGCTACAATGTAGAAGGCTAAGACATGCCCCAGTACAATAACAGGTGTATTATTATTGATATGTGAGACAAGCCCCAGAGGCTGCAAAAAATCAAATGTCTGCTTCTAGGAAACTTTTTTAAGTTAATGGACAGAAGCACTTTCTTTTCTTTCTCCCTATCATTGCACACACATTGACTGAATTTTTAAAAAAACCACTGCATACACCCTATAGAATAGATTTAACTATCCTCCATTATGGGTATCTAAGCCATCTATTTTTTTTTAACATATTAAAAGGAAAAACACTTTCTTAACACTAAAGTAGGGATAAATGAAGATTTGATTGTAGTTAATCATTCAACAAATATTGATTGCCTCTTGAGTGGTGCTTATCCCTTGTGACTCAGTGTCCCCTCCTGGCCCCCCAGTTCTTCAAGACCCAGTTTGAAATCTACCATCTCTACCAAATCTCGCTCTAATTTCTAGCTAATAATTGATTGTCATGTTTGCTCTCTTCTAATAGAAATTGGTCACTCAACTGGAATCCTGCTCTCCTTACTTGACACTATGTAGGAGAGCTTTCTAGAAATGCAAAGCGGCCTTGTCAGTCTCCACAGATGTCCCACAAGTGTAGCCTGTCAAGAAAATTGTACAGATCCTCAGGATCTGCTCTTGATTGTGCACTAGCCTTGTTTTTCTACACACGTGTCACCACTAAACTTGCTGCCACTCTCAAGGACTTCTATGGACTTTTTCCCTCTAGGTCTTGGTAGCCCTTCCTTTCCCTCATTCTTTCCGGCATAAGGGTAGTGACAGCGCCAGTGCTACTGGCTGAGAGTTGCTGACTTTTCTAGTCCTTTATAAACAGATCTTTTGTAAATAAACCATCCATGCATTATCCTAATTTGAATGTGCTGCCTGATTGCTGTTGAGACCCTGACAGATTCACCCCTCCCACCAAGACAACATCCCCATTTGTGCTGTTTACTAGGGTGGTCAGCAGCCACATGGGGGTATTGAGCATTTGAAATGTGGCTGCACCCAACTGAGAAGTGTGAGAAGTGAAAGATTCACACTGGAGTCCAAAGAACTCGGTATGAAAAGAAAGAACATATATGACTTCAATCATTGTTATATTGACTATATGTTACTGTCACATTTTTGGATGCACGGGATATATTATGAAAAGATAACTTTGTCTGCTTCTATTTTTTTTTTTTTTTTTTTTTTGAGACGGAGTCTCGCTTTGTCACCTAGGCTGGGGTGCAGTGGCGAGATCTCAACTTACTGCGATCTCCGCCTCCCAGGTTCAAGCAATTCTCCTGCCTCAGCTTCTTAAGTACCTGGGATTACAGGTGTGCGTCACCACGCCCAGCTAATTTTTGTATTTTTAATAGAGATGGGGTTTCACCATGTTGGTCAGACTGGTCTCAAACTCCTGACCTTGTGATCCGCCCGCCTTGGCCTCTCAAAGTGCTGGGATTACAGGCATGAGCCACCATGCCCAGCCCCTTTTTTAAGGTACTAAAATTTACTAGAAATTAGCCTGAGCAACATGGCGAAATGACATCCGTACAAAAAAACAACAATAATAAAAATAGCTAGGTGTGGTGGCATACCCCTGTAGTCCTAGCTACTCGGAAGGCTAAGGTGTGAAGATCACTTGAGCCCCAGGGTGCAGAGGTTGCAGTGAGCCAAGATTGTGCCACTGCACTCCAGCCTGGATGACAGTGAGACCCCATTTCAAAAAAAAAAATACTAGAAATTATCAATGACTCATAAAGCTTTTATTTGCGGCTCACATTTTGCTTCTAATGTGCAGAGCTGTCCTACATATCATGCGAGTGATGGTGAGAACCGTGTCTCCTACATTGAGCAAGTCTTTAATACTCACATAAAGGAAACACCTGTGCTCAGAAAGTGAAAGACCAAACACATACTATGATGTCATGCTGGAGCTAGAAGGGAACTTGGAGTCCATCATTTTCCAGTTGAGGAAACTGGAGCATGTTTATAAGTATTCACAGGATTGCATGCCTTCACAACATCTTTAAAATGGTCTTTGTTTTGTTGTCTTCTGCAAATCTGACTGAAATACTTAGGGAACAGTTTTAAAGTATAGGAAAGCTTAAGTTAACATTAGATCGCAACTGGTTTGTCAATACCTAATTTTAGAACACAAAGGGACATTAAAGCTTGGCAGGGCCTGTTCATCCTCGTAAACACCCAGTGCTTTATGGCATCAGAATCTAAAAAGCTCTTCACTGGTTATAGAATCAGTTGGGATTGGTAGTTCATAAACATAAAACCATATCCAGCACTGAGTACTTATCTAGCAAGCCCAGAGTTAGAACCACTAGGTCCCCCTTGGAAGCTGAAAAAGTAAAACTGGCTTCCACTTCCATGGTCAAATAGAGCACCCAAAGGCTGCAAAGTTCCTGCATGGAGACGCAGAAATGCCTGGTGAGTTTCCTGCACCGTGGACCTTGAGCCTACGGTGGGCCCTTGTTGGCACCCTCAGTGGTCCCAGAAAGCTGCAGGGGCTGGTAGGAAGCTGCCACGCTGTCGTCCATATAGTGAGGCATCCCGTGGAGGCTAGGAAGCCAAGAAATAAGGAACAAATAGGATTGGAACAAAAAACGACCTCACGCAGGTTCCACGGGCCAACCTCCCTCCATTAGACAGCAAGGCGGTTTGTATCCCTTCCTGACCTGCTCTCCGGGGAGCGCACAAAGAGGATATAGGGTCAGGGAAGGCAAGGGAAAGAGGAAACCGCAGTTTATGAAAAGACATTTAACCCCTTTGCCAGCGTGCGCGCGCGCACACACGCACACATACACACACACAAGTACAAACATTAAGAAAATAGACATTACATTAAAAATTGGGCATAGGGAGTTGGAATCGGAGCTGCATTTTTTTTTTTAATTTTAATTTTGCCTTTGATTTATGCATTGACTTTTTTCCTGAGAGATTGTTCCTTTGTAGGCCCTGGAGGACTGGATAATCTCATACAAATCCAAGGGAAAACAATCGAAAGAAGAAAAGTAAACAAACAAACAAACAAAAAGCTGATGGGAGAAAGAGCTCTGCTCAAAGGCCCGCAGCAGACGTTGAGTAGATAGAAGTGGAAACTGCTGCAGAGAATTCGGTTTGCTCCAGGCAAACGGGGGCGTGGCGTGCAGCGCAGTACTGGGAACTGCTGCAAACAGAACTTCCAAGGGGACAGGGAGTAGGTTCCAGGCGGTGGAAAGGGGTGGGATGGGGAAGGATAGGGCAACGGTGCCGAGAGAGGAGCAGAGCGCGGGGAACCTGGAGAGGGTCAGGGCTGCGGAGGGCTGAGTCGCTGTGGAGAGCTCTGGAGGCCCTCCCCAAGCCAGTGGCTTCTGGAGTGGAAGTCAGGCCCCAGGGATCCGGCTGGCCTTAGCTGTCACTCAGGCAAACCCGGAGCCGCTGCAGCCAGGAGCTCCACTGGAAGGGGGCGAAGCCGCCCGAAGGAAAGGGGCACCTTGGGGAAGGGGCGTTGCCCCTGCCGCCCCCGCCCTCTCCAGTGCCATTAGGCGGCCGCTGCCGAGCCCGCGCCACCTTTTCTCCATCGCACCCCGCCCGTCTGGCCCCGCCCGGCCGCGGGTCCGCACCCCGCCGCTCTTGTCCGGGGGCTGGTCCGGCCCGGGCCGTTGACGTCACTGGCAAGTTTGCTGCCCTCGGCGTCCCACGTGTGGCGGCGGCGGCGGCGTCCCGGGAGGCAGTCGGTGAGCTCCTGCGAGCACAGTGGCGGGGACCGCTGACAGGTCCCGCGCAGCCCAGCCCCGCCACGCGGCTCACAGGTGGGGTCCGAGAGCAGTTTGGAGCAGCTCGGCGCGCACGGAGAAGGGCGGACGGCTTGGTACAGGCCTCTGGCTCCCGCTCGGGCGGAGGGACTCGGGGGGAACCTCGCTCCGTGGCCGAAAGAAGCGGAGTCCGGGCGGAGAGAACGCGCCCAGGCGGGCAAGGGGGCCAAAGGAAGCCGGGGTTGGAGAGCACTGTCGCTCGCCGCTGTCTGGGGCGCACTGAGCACACAGGCCCCGCCGCCGCCCGTCCCCTACCCGGGACCCAGCAAGGGATGCAGCTTCGCTGAGCGGAGATCCGCACCGAGAGGCCTCTCGGGGCCGGTCTGAGACGCACGCTTTCGCCACCGCCACCAAGACCCCGATTCCGGCGACTCTTGGGGGAACCCGGGCGCAGAGCGCTTCCCCAAGCTCAGGACTTGAGCGAGTCTAAGACGATGGTTTCTTAAGCACGGCACTGCGCTCCCCTTCCCGTCCCCTCGGCTGGAGGCAGGGATCCTGCGAGGGGCCCCCGGGGCTCCGTTTCCCCCCGCAGCCCCGGCCGCCGCCTCCGGGGGCAGTTGGCACAGCCGCAGGGGCGCACGGCGATGTGGCCTCCGTCCAGCGCGCGGGCCCGCCGGGGGGATGCTCTGACACCTGGCGGGGTCCCGGCCTAGCATGGCCCGCGCGTTGCCCGAAGTCGCCTCCGGCTAGGATGGCCCCTCCGGGCCCGGCCGGCGCCCTCCCCACCTCTGCAGAGCCGCTGTCCCGCAGCATCTTCCGGAAGTTCTTGCTGGTGCTCTGCTCCCTGCTCACGTCCCTGTACGTCTTCTACTGCCTGGCCGAGCGCTGCCAGACCCTGTCCGGCCCCGTCGTAGGGCTGTCCGGCGGCGGGGAGGAGGCAGGGGCCCCGGGTCGCGGTGTCCTAGCCGGAGGCCCACGGGAGCTGGCGGTGTGGCCGGCGGCGGCACAGAGAAAGCGCCTCCTGCAACTGCAGCAGTGGCGGAGGCGTCGGCCGCCCGCGCCGCGCGGCGACGGCGAGGAGGCGGCCTGGGAAGAGGAGTCCCCTGGCCTGGCCGGGGGTCCCGGCGGCTCCGGGGCGGGAAGCAGCGTGGCCGAGGCCCCGCCGGGGACCCTGGCGCTGCTCCTGGACGAAGGCAGCAAGCAGCTGCCGCAGGCCATCATCATCGGCGTGAAGAAGGGCGGCACGCGGGCGCTGCTGGAGTTCCTGCGCGTGCACCCCGACGTGCGCGCCGTGGGCGCCGAGCCCCACTTCTTCGACCGCAGCTACGACAAGGGCCTTGCCTGGTACCGGTGAGCGGGGCGGGCCCAGCCGGGGGCTGAAGGATCGCGGGGGTACTGGGCTGGGAAAGTCGTTGGAGAGCCCTCGGTGACCCCCCAGTTCGCCCTCCTCCCCACTTCCTGCAGAAGGCGAAGGGTCATCAGTAGTTGTCCTTAAGTTGAGGGACCTTTCGTCTCTCGCTGCCTTCTCCTTCCTGGGAAGTGGATGTTGAGAGAGGGAGTGGGAGGGAAATTCTGGCCTTCATGATTTCCATCCTTGGGAATCTCTTGCCAAGTCTGGTCTCTTTCTCTTGCTCTGCGAAAAGTATTCATGTAGTTAGCTAAAGGGGAAAAAAGAAAGAAAGAAAAAAGTCTCTCCTAAATTAGAAACCTATTCAACAGTTAATAGATTTCCTTTCTCTTTCCAAGGAAGCCGGTTTTCATTCTTTACCTTTTGGGCAGTTCTCTGTGGTTAACCCAGCCTTTACCATCAGGTATTTATTTACCTTGACCTTTTGCCAGATAGTTGTCCTGGGTGGGAAGTAATATAGAGACTTAGTATAAGTGTCAAGAACCAGAGAATCTGGGTAGTTTGGAAAATATATGTCTGTCTGAGCAAGGGAAAGCAACCAGGCACTGTGTTTTAAAGGACGCTTGGCAATAACTTTTGTTTGAGGGCAAGGAATGAGTTTTGTAGTGATTTTGATATTGGTAGGGAAAAGTAACTTTTGTCCCTGGACTGACAGAAACTTTTCTAAAGATCGTCAAATAATCCTCTTTACAAGTAAGGAGGCCAATTAAAAGAAGAAGAAGAAGACAAAAGAGAGAAAAATACATTGGCGCAACTTTGCCGCAACTTTGCCAATACAGTTCAGGAAATAAGTCTTACTTAGATCTTAATCTTAAATTCGCCAGTCTCTTCCAATTCAGACCACATTTAATAATAAAATCGGCCAAATTCTAATAAATCTAGTGTCGCCTGGATTTTGTTTGCCATAATATATTGGCTTTTTTTTCTTTCTTCCAAGTACCAGTAAAAATTTTGTTGCTAGAACTTTCCATTTTATAAAGTTTATCTTGTTCATAAAATACGTGTTTTCTTTGTTATTTTAACTGAAACAATGTAACAAAAATTACAACACAATTTAGGTAGATTTCAAAAAGCCCATTAAATTAACCATTCATCCACAACACGGAAATGGACATGATTTGACAAGTTTATTTACTTGAGGGGCCAATTGCACTTGCAGATTGATTTCAAGAGCCGAATTTACAGTAAATCCACTCATAGAGAAACGATTTGGCCCTAAAAATTGAATTTAAACATTAAACACTTTTAAAACAGTAACTTTCCATTTGTTGGAAAGAAAAAACAAACAACCTCCCCTTAATATAGATTATGTATCACTTAAAATCATCAGCCACTTAAAATATCCCCTTGTGTTTCTGTCATTTATGTTGTATCCTCTGGGAAGTTCTTATAAAAATGACCTGTTGAATCTGGAAACAACAGGTCCTTCTTTTTAGCACAAAGGCAGCTCTGTTTTTTCCATCAAGGACACAAGAAAGAAGTGATTAAAGACCCCTAAAACTCTTATCTATAGCAGTTTGCTTTGAATTCGGCCTCGTACCGTGCTATAAGCGAACACATTTCAAGCCGACTGTCTGAAACATCTAACACTACATTGGGCTCTGAGGTGCCATTAAATATGGTGAAATATTTATGCTAAAACCCTTTATTTTCCTTTTGCCATATAAACTTTATTTCCACAAACTAGGATTGTTTCTTCTTATTCCAGAAATGAGTATTTGAGGGCCCAGTCAATCTGCAGACCTGGATCTTATTTTCTGTGGTCATTTCTGAGCTCCTGTAAGAGGAGGAAGGTTTCAAGGTAACGAGAAACACAAGTATTTAAAAACTTTTTTTAAAGAAAGAAAGAAAAAAGAAAAAAAGAGTCATAAACTTTTAGGCCAGTCTCTCCTTTGGAAACTGGATGCATGCTATAAAGTAAATCTCCCCTTGGATTGTTTACTCCAGCAGAAGAGTTCTGTAAAGCAATTTATGGTGGTTACAGAAATAGCTGCACAGTAGACTTCATGGTTTGGTGAATTTAATTTTCTAAGTGTTGGAGCAATGTCTTTGTTTTACCATTTGCAATGGTTTTTTATTGGATGCATAAATTTACGTTTAACTCAATTACATAGGAAACTTATTTTTTAAAAAATCCAACCTATGGAGCCTGGATTATGTGATTATTTAATGAAATTTACCCACAGTTCTCTTTCATCTCGGCTCTGAACTTGGAGTTTGATGTTTGCGAGCAAGACTGAAGGCTCAACTATGAAAAAAAAAATTCTCCCACCCAGAATGCCACTTAACTATTAAGTGCATTTTAGCTACTTATATTCAGCTAATAATTTAGAACAGGGGATTCAGTTAGACCTTCATGAGTCAGCCCAAACTTTTCAATACAGGAATTGTACCACAAGCTTATGAGCACATTAATACACAAACACACACACACATGCACACAGAAAGAAATAAATTCCAGATAATTGCACCCAGAAGTGAATTATGGAAGATTAAAACCTGTATAATTATTTTTAGGTGTACATTGACATGGGGGAATCCTAAAATGTCTAGCCTTTTTTTGCCCAGCAAAATCGCTAAGCTAGCCATGATAGTTTGTGGTGGCAGTGCCCCCTACTGTCCTCACAAAGGGACAAATCTGCTGCTATTAGCAAGTTCAAAGGAAAATGAGTTTGTGAGTTAGAAATGCCTGTTACTGAACTTGTTCAGTAAATTACTGTCACTGGGAAGAAAATAAAATACTTTATAAACTTTCTTCCAATAGTGAAGTCATAAACCCTCCCTTTATTTGAACACATTTGTAGTAACAGGCAAAGAAAAAGGATTTGTTATTCAAAATCTCTAGAAAGAAAATTATTCTTACTAATTTAAAATGTCCTAATAGACCTCCTCTAAAACAAATAAAACAAAGACAAATTTTTATATCCTGAGAAACTCGATCCTGATGGAGTTTTTTTTAAAAAAACATTCCTCATTACTTAATTTAGCAGACATATTATCAGTACAACAAATGTCTATGGCTTGCAGGACCCCGGAAAGCAGTCCTTTGCAATGAATAGTGTCCATTTCTCTTGTATGTATTGTGGCTTCATAAAGAAAAGGAAAAAGTTTCCTTAGCCTGAAAACACTGATCTTTACTGGAAGTCAAGACTGAATGCCTCTGCTGTAGTTCAAGAACAGATGAGTTTAGAATTTAATAAGTCTCTCTTCTGCTTGTTTCTATCTGCACCAACTAAAAGATATGTCTTTTTTTTTGTAAGCTAAACAATATCTATTAATAGAGTATTTAAATAATGTGTCTATTTGTGTGTACACATACACATACATCTGAATGTATGTGAATGTTTGGATTCGATAACATTTCATTCTATTATTTTGGTACAAGATAGGAAGTATTTATTATCCAGTCTCTTACACTAGCATGTTTATTTCTTATATTTCAATTTCTTTTCTTTCGTGAGTCTGGACAATTTCAGCAGAGAAGGATACCACTAGAATCATTTTATTCTAGTGCCTACAGGAAGATCAAATATTGTCCAGCTTGGAGTTTAGGAGTTAGTGCTCCCCTGACTTCATCAGAATTTGAAATTTCCTGGCCTCTGATGATCATGGCCCTGTTTTTCAAGTCCGTTAGAGAAGCATACTGAGCAGAGGCCCTTTCGGCTCCTATGAGGAGAAGTTGGCATTTGTAGCAGCTGGGAGCAGCTGCAAAGTACCTCCATGTGCAGTTTCCCACCCTCCTGTACTGTGCAAGCCCTTTCTGTGTGAAGAGTTTGAAATGAAATCTGAGCCAAGGAAGCTGCAGTCTGACCACCCATGCAAGGACATATGGACTGAAGGCCAAGGGCTCTCTATCCGTAGGGCAGAGGAAAGAACATTGGAAGAGAGGAGGGCTAGGAGAAGAGCGAGATGTTGCTTCAGACTCTGAGTCTACAGTGCGTGTCTATAGAAGCTCTCAGTACCTGGGCATTCCCCACCCAGTCACAGGTTGAGGAGCCAAAATGCTGTCATCTAGTTTGCTGAATGTCTGAACTCTGGGCTCATCCCCAACAGACGGAACCGGAAATGCAAGTCAATCAGCCTAGTTCCTGTGTGTGTGTGTGTGTGTGTGTGTGTGTGTGTGTCACACGTGAATGTGCATGTGGGAGCAGACACCCAGAAGACAGGGACGATGATAGAATTTATGAGAGGAAAGTTATTAAGTAGCTGGGAAACTTCTGAGCAATATTGGACATCCTGAGTAGGGAACAGTTTGGGGGCACTGTTGAGATCATAGTCCAGGCTTTAAACAACAACAAAAACACTTGGTAGAGCCTGGACCGGAATGCCTTGGGAGAGTGAATATTCCTTTCGAGGGATGAGATTCATAACATGCTCCTATACTTCATGTGAAATGCACAGACTTCTATGAAAATCCACCATGACATTATAATCTCCTGCCCTCTCTTTAAAAAGAAAACACCCTGGCCAAAATACTTGTCTCTTGTAAATAAGTCTGTGGATTGGCCAGGAAAGAATAAGTGCCAAATCTGTATTTTGGCAGGGTCATGGGAGTGAAATAAACCTGTGCAATTAATGACAACAGGGGCTAACCTCACACAGACTAGATGCTCACTTCATCAGAAGAGTGTTGCAGAGCAAACAAAACTCCCCGATATGAACAACAACAACAAAACGGGCCTCGAATCTCTCCGGGACACAGTTGAACAATTGCAAATTGCAAATTACCATCAGTCAAATTGCTGGGCCCAGTCGGGAACTTGATATTCTTAGTTCTTTTCCTTAGGGGGAAATCTTCCTCCACCAAGTTGATAGTAACTTGGCTGAAAAAGAGCATCATTTCTTGGTATAGATTTCCTAATGATATTAAATCCCAAGCTTTTAGAAAATTTGTTTCTGCTTAAGTGATGAGTTGCAATTGTGAACATAAGGTTGCTTATTA